AGACGCCTTCTCCCAAGCAGGGCGCACAACACTTGCTTTTAGAAAATCAATCATTGGCCTCAAATCTTGGTCTTTCTTCTGTTCTGCTTTGATATCTATATTTGGATCCACTTCATCATCATCAACTTCTTCAGTCACTTTGACTTCACCTTGATGGAACCTAATTAGTTCAACCTCTCTTTTAACAGTTACCGGAACTTGGCCTTTGTTATTCCCAAACGTCATTTTATCAAAATCAATTACAAACTTCCTTGGTAGTAGGTAGTCCAATCCTAATATGCATTCGTCTTCAATGTCAGCCAAGTATACTTTCTGTCTGTCCTTTATGCCCATGAGCTCAATAGTTATCCATACTGATCCCCACAATCTTGTAGAATGTCCTGTCACACCATAAAGCTTCTGTATGGCTTCCGGTACTCCTACGTGACCGAACACCTTGATGCTCACAAGGGTTTGCTGAGACGCAGAGTCTATGACAAAATTGCAGCTTTGGCCATCTAGCTTTACTGTCACATAGACACTGTGTGTGCTTGGCATTTTACACCTAGCTGTTGGGACTTTCATGATGGGGTTTGATGAGTGTCCCACAACACCAACCACTACTGGTCTCCTTGAGGCTGACTTGTTGGTAATATTCTTCCTACACTGGCTTCTCAAATGTCCATGCTTTCCACAGTTCCAACAACATTTCTTGGTAGCAGCCTTTACTGCTGTGGCACCTCCCCTGTGCTGAACTTTCCAGCATTGAGCTCTCTTGTGCCCAGGTTTATTACAGTGCCAGCAAAGTCCATCAAACTTCTCTGAAAGCTGACATTTTCTGGCATTGAATCCAGATGACTGTACCAACCTCGGTACCACTGTGCTGGACTTAACATAGGATTCAAATTCGAGAGCTCTGGCCATTGCATCCTGCATGGTAGAGGGGTGTGCTTGCTTCACTTGTATCTTAAGTTGTGGACTGTCCAAGTCATCTACGAACTGATCTCTCACCAACAACTTGAGTAGATCGGGTGGTGCAGTTGGGTGGGCCTTGTGTGCCATACTTTCCAAGTCCTGTGCCAGCTCTTGCAGGCTCTCCCCTTTAGCACGGACTCTCGTCCGAAACCAAACAGACTTCCAACTGATTTTGGGTTCTGTACCTGAGTTCTAGAGCCACTACCAGTGCTCTATAGTTGTGCCTGTCGTCTGCTGACAACTGTCCAAGTATTTCCAGTGGTTGTCCTTTCAAGCTCGTTGCCAGATATACTGCTTTCTGCTCCTCTGTCCATCCATTCATCTCTGCCTGTAGCTCAAACTGTGCTCTATATGCTTCCCACGGTGCTTTCCCATCATATTCCTGTGGCTTCCTTCTTACTGAATCACTCCTAGTACTGACATTCATATCTGGGATGTGACTTCTAACGGGACTGAATATGTCTACATTAGGGTTTAACTGCAGGGTCTGGAAGTGGCTTGTCATTGTCTGGGGCTGATTAAGTCGATGGTCAATGTATCCTCCTTGTGTAACAGCCAATAAATCGTTCTTTAACGTATCTAATTCGCTTTTAAATTTACTGATGTTTTCCATTTGTACCTCTTGCCATTGTTGTTGATTTTCCT